AAAATACGTGTTTATCGACGAATCTGTTCACGTCTTCGTGCTTGTCTAACATCAGCTTCTGCTTGAATAATTTGAGCATCAACATAACATTGTTCTTTCTTTAAACCTTTTAAAAATTTCGAAAACTTTTGGATGGCTGCAATTCATCAATGATGTAAACCTATTGTTCCACCCCTCAACCACATTATTCGTGCGGTGTTGACCTTGAAGTGTATTTGTATTAACATTCCATAATGCTACGTCAAATTTCGCTGCTCTTCTAGGACGAGACAAACGACTTTTTACACCTATATAGTACTCTTCAAAATATTTTAATACTAGGTTCACCTTCAGCTGGAAATTGAGCTTTAATTTCATCAAATGTTGCGATAACATCAGTAGTTGGTAAGAATGCTAATGCTGGTAATGAACGAATTTGTTGCGCAAAATTCTCATTTTCACCATATAATGTTTTTAAATCAAATCGTGTAACAGCATGATAAACATTTTGACATAAATGAAAAAAACATCCAGATAAATTTGCTGTTGGAAATAAATTTTTAATTGCATTCATGCTTGCACGTTCGAAATCTACCATTACATTTGGTGGATCAAAATCTGGTGCTAATTTCTTAATTTCTTCTAACATGGTTTTATATAAACGTTGTTTTTTACCTAATCAAAACAGAGACACATGAATAAAAATTTTAATAAATGCTACTGGATGCTTACCCATGTAAAAAAAAACCGGGAAAAATCAGATTTTAATCGATTTTTTTCTGGTTAAAAATCGATTTAAATGGCACGATTTTAATCAGATTTTAATCAGATTTTTAATCAGAAAAATCGATTTTAATCAGATTTTTCGCGTTTTTTTTACATGGGTAATTACGACAGCACCATATTATCTTGTTGTTATTTGATTTTTTATTAATAATATATAAATAACCTTAATGTTCAAAGATTGGTTTTCCTCTAGAAGTTTCCATCATGTAATAAATAAATATTTATTATGTAGAAAAAAACGATGATATGATTTCTTTTAGGAGAAAGGTTGAAAAATAAATTTAAAAAAAATATTGTCGAGATAAATACACAAATTTAGAGATCAAGCTAAATGAAGAGATTAATTAATTAGAAGTTTAAGCTTCTCAACACGCTTGACATATTTCATTGGATTATCTTTGTTTTCGATGTATTTAATTAATTAGTTGTAGCGTATTTGTGTAAGTTTAGAAAAACAATTTAAAGAAAATATAAAACAGAACAGAACACTCTCATTTGTTGTTTCTTATTTATGTGATAATTCCTTTCATAATCTAGAGAATTTTCCCATGTTATTTGTTGTAGGTTCTTCATATATTCATAGATCCATGTTACCACCTTTTGAAGTTCCGATAAAACTGCAGTAAAATTAGCTATATATTTAAAATCAATTCGTGAGTTTTCAGGGATCATAGATTCTGCACGAATTTCTACTCATCTCACTCTTGTCATAATTTTACCAATTTTTAAGTCTTTAAAGATTATATTGAATTTGTCAACAAAAAAACCGTAGCTTAAGGCCTAGTGGAATTGGGGAGAAAATGTGATTGGGAAGCAAGTGTCCGGGGAGCAAATGTCATTAGGGAACACATATCCAGGGAGCAATTGTCATGGAGAGCAAATGTTTGGGAAGCACTTGCCCTTGGGGAGCAACTATCCATGGGAGCAAAAGTCACGCGAGCAAATGTCTCGGGAGCAACTGCCACTGGAGAGCAATTGTCCTGA